TTATACAATTACGGCTGCTTCATATTTTGAATAGCAATACATAGCTTAATAGCGTAAAATTTAAAATATTGGACATTACAGACGCGCGCTTTGCGCGCGCTATTTAGTTTTAACATTACACACAACTGTCAAAATATACGATGACAGTTACTCATGAAGTAAGCGCAGCGAGAGAACTAATCGACATCGCGGAAAAGCGACAACAATAAACTTCGATAGATTTGAGTATCGACTTTACGTGCCTTTTTTAGATATGGATGGATGGATCGCGATTCAATAAAGTTATAATATCAAAAGAGATTGATTTCAGAACACATCACAGTCGTATCTAACGTCAGTAACGTCTCTGTATAAATTCAATTGTTGTTTATAATTTTATCGCATATTTATTATCGAGAATAAATCAAATTCTATACGCATGTAAAATACGTGTATGAAATTCGAAAGTGCACAGAAATGAATAAAAATGGCGAATAAATCACGGTGGAAATTAGGAAAACAACATATTTATTTGCATAATATATAATAAAGTAAAATGCAGTAATGTAACACTGTCAAAGCATGAACAACGTTAAATATTCTCAATGAGGGATAAAAGAGGTAGAAGTACATCAAAGCAAAACTTCAAACATGTCGCACGTAGCGCAATCATATCGCGATACGTTTATTTACGGTGAAGATATTTGAGTGATCTGTAGGCCGTTGGTTTAAATCATGATGCTGGTGAAAATGAACGCAACAGTGCGGAAAACATATGCCAATAATTCTTCCGTTGATATCTCGGCGAAATTAGATTGATCTTTCAGACCTAGAAATACAATTTGTTTAATTTAATACAATTTTGTTTAATTAAAGAAATATTAAAGTCTTATTTTAATTATACTATTTTATTATTAATAGAGGAGAGTCTCTTATTATGATCTGATAGGCTCCTAATATGAGGTAGCGAGGTTACTGCTAAAAACTAATAGGACCCATCTATTGGTTCCACCATGAACTTATTGCATTTATTAAATTCATTACATTCATTAAATTCATTACATTTTTAAATTCTGCCCATAGACTTCCGGCAATCACACAAAATAAACTCGATATCTCATAATAGGGAACTTTCTTCTAATACCTAAATATAGCGGTGAAATACAGATGAAAATACAGATGGTGATGTTATATAAAAAAATAAATCACAAGTTATTTTGAATAAATTATATTTACAAAGACAAAGTCATATTGCCAATTTAATTAATTTATTTTTTATTAATATATGTAGACATACACATTGTCTTTGTATTAGCCAAAAAAAATAGAGAGAGGGAGGGAAGGAGAGAGAGAGAGAGAGAGAGAGAGAGAGAGAGAGAGAGAGAGAGAGCTAGGGGAGAAAAGGAGAAGAAGATAGGAAGAAACAGATGAGCTGATGTGAGATATGAATAATTAATGTCTTTTAAAAAATAGAATAATTAATGTCTTGTTTTACGACAAAAATAACTTTGTGAAACACTTACCGATACGTAAAAAGATTATAATTATAACATTTATCATAGTGTGCCTAAAAATCAGAGTACATGATCTCTTGCGGTTTTTCGAATTTAATAGGTCGATAGACTGTGAATGATTGATCCCATCCACGCGGCGCTGTGTTGTAATTTGTCAGATTGTGAAGGCTGGCCAATTTCGGTCCAGTATAATTGTTATTCTCGTACAGTTTGTTTCCTGAAAATTTTAAAACATTAAATATAAATCTGTAAATATAAACATATGATAGAAAAATTATTAAATATTACTAACTAATATATAATTTTAATATATGCATACATCTCATGAACTCAATTTTTTATATAATATAGACAATACGCCTATTACCGTGTTTTTATTGTTACAAAAAAATACAGACACCATGTATTTGATATTGCAAATAGTGAATTATATTAATATAAATTCTTAATTACCGCATAAGAAAAATTAATCTCATTAAGAGAGAGATCTATTTTAAATTAAAACTTAAAAAGAAATATGGTTTTTATATAGTACCTTGTAAGAAATTATTGTATTTTAGAAAAGATTTTTTTTTTGTATTTTTGTACTTTTATAATTTTTTATCTTTACATAACATGGGAAAAATTTCGTTTTTCGTATATAATTTAATAGTATAATTAATTTTCATTAATCCATTTGCTATATATGTATAAGGATTAGGAACATATGCGTTAGAGATCGTTTTTGTACGTTTAGTGTGCGAAAGCGATGACATCAGAACTACAAAAGCGCATGCGTATTAACTTGCCTAATTCCGGATTAACATCAACGAGTTTGCATTCTGGCGTGGTGGTGCCTAAAAGATTATCCAAAACCGGTGTGCTACGCAGATGTTTCTTAGTCTCGAGTATGTTCTCCTGCGAGGCGACCATTGAGAGCATCAGCGACTTCGCCTCGGGAGGCATCTCGGCCTCGGTGTTGACGAATCTCGTGCCGTTGGCATAAAGGGCCTCCAATTCCTGCGAGGTGGTCGAATGACGTCGAGTACCCGAGTACTCGTCCTCGAACGCGATCGAGTACTCGCTGCTGTCGCAACAGTTCAATAGGGCGGACGGCGCGGAATTTCCGCGATCTATAGATCCCGCCTCGTTCTGATAATCTTCGGAGTCAGTGTCATCCGTCGTATATTCGCTTTCGTCAGTGGAAACGTAGCCGTTGCATCGGGACTGTAGTTTCGCTGATCCTTCGTAGCTCTCGTGTGCACTGCATAATTGATCGTTGCACTGTAGTTTCCTTTCGTAGCTTCCACGTGTGTCGTACAATCGGCTGTTACATTGGGACTGCAGTTTCGCGGATCCTTCGTAGTTTCCGCGTGTGCTATATAATTGGATTAAAATGGATTCTCGATTTGATTTCGCGAAACTTTGATCTCCTCTATCTAAAGAGAGATATACTACATCTACATGTGACTGCAATTGCTAGTAAAAATATAAACGAAAGATAAACATACTTTATCGAACTTCGTTGAACTACGGACTGTTATGAATAACAATATCACGAATGACATCTTGTGTCTATCACATTTGCAATTGAAATAGCAGATTAAAATATGCATTGCTAAAAAAGTACACATAGCGCGACATCAAACAAACAACTCAAACTTCCTCCACCATTTACGTCAATCATCGGAGAATGATTTGAATAATTACGTTATCGTTAAAAAACACTAAAATAAAATATAAAAGGCTTTTTGGTACATTATTATTTATTAAAACCGAAGAATCCATCATTCTCACCGTGCGTATCTCTCCTCCTCGTTGTTATACTTGATAGAATTTTTCGTCTCGAAGAAACGCGCTATGCCATTATCCAACGGACACTGCTGTACGATTGGAATGATCCTTGGACTGATCTGCTTGTATTGCAGAACCGGTCTACAGGTTTTCTCGAATTCTTGTATCAGTTGCTTCACTGGCACAGGAGTGTATCCGTTTTCCTCATTGTCATTCTGCATCTGTCTGTCGCTCTGTTGCTTATTCCCGATCTTGTTGTCAATTACGTTATCGTACTTGTTATCGTAACGCTGTTGAATTCTCGTGCCTCTGCCATTGTAGCTCCGCGCATTACGAACGTCAGATTTTTTCGGCGACTGATAATTGTTGTTAATATATCTATTATTGTTACTTGCGACAGCGTAATTATTGGCCATGTTAGTGCGCCGATTGTTAGTAGATTCGAAAACGGTACGACGAGATTTCTCGACGATGGGCGACCGTGAATGATCGGAAGGAAAATCGGAATCTGTGCCCACCGCAATTTCCCGCAGGTAAATCTTTTTTATCTCGTTCGAATGGCCGCATCGATTAGCGTTACAGTGCCTGTCTGCAACTCGCAAATCGAAATTGATACAGCGGAGCATAGCAACTGGAAAAAGCTTTGTTACAGGATTAAGCATACCTAAAGTGTTTTTCCGAAGAATTAGAGGAAACTATATACATATACTTGAAAAGATTTAAAAAATGGTATAAAAGAAAAAAATGTCAAAATAAAATGTAAAAATAAAACTTGTATTTAATTACAGTTTAATTACTTTATATACATAATATTATAGATCGGATCTCTAATATTTGTGTAAAAAGAAATGTAAGATTTCAAATTTTTATAAATCTGTTCTCTTATAATTTATTATAGGGGAAAGCCCGGGCAAAACGAACGCCTTCCTTGCTTTTTTTTCGCTCATCTATATTAGATAGCGCTGTGAGTCTCTAGCAGGAAGAAGGAGC